TTATTAATCATATCTTTCAAATTTCAAAGTTCTTTTAAAAAATCCTGACATCAGAGAGAAACATTAAGAACGCAATTGTACTATATTTGGCCCTTGGGTTCGCAAATATTTTAATTTTTTTTTGTGCAAAACTGCATGTCGACTGCTGAGTGGAAGATCGACCTATCTCGGTAGCCAGTTCGAAAACGCTCTATCTCAAACAACTTTTCAAAAATGCCCTATTCCAGCTGTCGATTCAAAAACGCCCTATATCAGCACATTTTCAATACATTTTGAAGTGAGATAGGGCATTTTTGAATCGAATTCTGAAATAGGGCGTTTTCGAACTGGCTGCCGAGGGAGGTCGATCTTCCACTCAGCAATATTAAATACACAAAAGAAATATAGCCAAAACTGGTCAACTTGAGGCGTTTCTATTATCCCGGGATTCTAGGCAAATAATCTCTGGATTTTCGGGACTTAAAAAAGACCGGGATCCCGCGATCTTGGGATTAATATTCCTATTATGCACTGTTTTAAGCATTCACTTTTGTACCCAGCTGTACAATTTACATGCATACCAAAAAACAAAAGAAAAACCATCCGTTTTTTTCGGTATATTGTTGGTGCTTTCTGTTGTTTAGTTTGTGAAAAGCAAATCCATATTTTCTGCAGTAAGTCAAGCTGTTCCTCCGCTAGGGCAGGAACCTTTCCATGGTGCGGGGGCTTAGTCGAATCATAATCAGACCATATCAGCGGATGGTAGTGTAATCGTGTCTTCACCTCTGTGTACGAGTACTGTGCGCGTGCACTCCATTTCCTACGGTACTACGGTACGCGGTGCTGAGTCCTCTTGTCCGTTCCTCTTTAACGGAGCCGGAATCGACTCCTGAGCAGGGTGGGGTAACTGCTGCTGCAAGGCGCAGTTACGGTTCGGAACCGACTCTTGTCTGCACCCGTATCGGGAGGTGCGGGCGGGAACCCAATGTGCACATACCCGGGGTAGGGACGCTAGTGAATACGCCAGCAGTCAGAGCGGGAATAGGGCCACAGACGAAGTCGTCTGCGGATGTGGACAGGGGGGCACCAGACAGTATAAGCGGCACCATCGAAGGACTTTCAACCAAGCTCGTAGGGGATTCAACCGTTAGGCCTAAACGGCGCGCTGGGCTAGCCAGAAGAGCACGTAAGAGCCAGGAGAGCTGTAATGAGGGTGCTTTTGAGGTTGCAAGCGCATCCCGTAACGACCCTTTTAAACGGCAGAGGTCGCAGGAGGGGGAACCCCCTCCCTAACAATCCCATAGTGGGAGAGAAGCCTAAGCTTTTCACCGATATCGCTAAGCAGGCGGGCTCTATCACTCTGGGCGTTTTGGATCGTGGTAAGGAGGATTGCGCCATCGCCAGGGAGTACTGGAGAAAGGCGCCGTCAGCTTTATCCCGGGTGTTTATGAGAGTGGTCAGGGATAACCCTGTACCGCCGCCACGTTGCAAGAGTGCCGGATGGCACCACGGTATCTTTAAGAGTTGGTATGTACCGTCGAGCGGTCGGTCTCTTTGTTTAAGGCGGCAGTAGTCCTGGTCGGGTACGTCTGGAAGGGAGCCAGACTTGAAGACTTGAAGCTGTAGATAAGAAGGTGCTTCACTTGCATCCGCGTTCTCGAGTGTAGCTTCGCTCTGAACATTTCTTGCCGAGGAAGATCGAAGAGATCTTCCGCTACTGAAACCCTGGTCTTCCAGCGCACAACTGGAAGGTCATTCGGTTCGCGAATTCCGAGGGATCCTACCGGCAAGCGCTGATCGTACTTGTATGACTAAACCATTCACATCTCGGTTATATGTGGCTTGATAAATGAAATGTTTAAAGACACTTTTATCAATGTTGATAAATCTGACTTTTGGCAGGTTTTATTACACAAAATCCACCTATGTGCATTCGTCGGTTTGGGCCAAGACCAATAGATTTCGCCAATCTCCCTTCTACTTCGCGAGGTTGCACCAGTGCAAGAAACCTATCTAGTAGGTCTCTTTCTTATGTTAAACCAAAAAGCTAACTAGTCCTAATTCAATTGCACAACAATTCTACAAAGTTCATACCATCTAATTTTCCGACAGGGTATCTTAACATAAGTACGTATGTAACTCTATATGTATGAGCATCCGAACAATCCCTGCATAATTAATTCATTTGCGTGCAACGAACAAACAACTCAGTTCTTTGAGTTCTGTAACAGAATAAAAGAAGTTGGCGTAAAAAGAGGAAGTAAAAGTACAAACATAAATGCTTCACACGTGTGTGGGTAGTCACGCGGAAGCAGACATGCCGTAGACAGTCTTTAAGAGTAGCGCTAAAATGCATTAGTACTATGTATGCGTGAAGGTGCTATGAAATTAAAATTGTCACACATTTAGGACCGTACTATAGAGCTACATACATACATACGACAAAAGACGAGTATCACGACAATAAACGAAATTAAATCGACATTGTAATCGCATTACGTTGGCCTTTACACCCACAAACAAGAATGTGCATGCGTGTATGTAGGTTTCGGCGCAGGCGGTTGACATTTCAAAGGTGCTCGATTGAGCGTGTGTGGCCTTAACAAATTGGAGAAAGACATGATTTCCTGCACTGTGAGATATTTAGTTGAATATAGTGGTTTTTATTTGTTTCTAAATTTATTGGCGCACTGATTTAATTCAAAAAGGAAGAGTTAATAAATCTATTAGGATACTGGATATTAATATAAAAAAGGTAATTAGAAAAATTTTTGTCCCGCGGTACGTGAGGTTTCGAACAACCTTTCTTTAATAATAAGTAAAAAATTATTAAAAATCATTTTCTGTTATTAATGAAGAGCTGTCAGCTTTAGAGTGCTGTTTGAGAGTGTTTTGAGATTCGAGGTTTTGCCAAGTTCCGTCGATATACATACATGACATGCTTGCCGTAAAAGGTGGCTAAATACCACTGGCGCCAGTAGTCCGACTGCAATTGGCGTGCCTCGGGAATTAGCAGGATAATGGAATGAATACCCTAGCAGTTTCGTAAAACAGTCAAACCATATGATGGATTATATCTACTGCAGGTGGTACCAACACGAGCAAAAATCCACCCACACTTGGGGCAGGGTCATAGATTCTAGAAGGCCTTACCATCACACAAGTCTACCGCGTTTATACGAGTATACGCGTATCCTGGAGGAAAGGGAAGTGGTTTGGTCTTTTCACTCTTCTTCAGCGACGAAGTCGGACGGAAGAGTTTGAGGATACCTTGTAGCTACTCCAAATCAACAATATGGCAATGGATATCCTGTACACGAGTCTTGGGAAAATGCCATGGGGCATTAGTGGTGATGCCTTCGTCGCAATAAGTCCAACCACGCCAGCAACATAAAAACTCACTCTAGACATGGAGATAGCAAATAATGTTGGCTTTCCTTAAGCCTACGCGATGTGGAGAAAAATGAGCTGGAGATAGCATCTAGCCACGGGTAGGAGTCAGAGCTTGGAGGTGAATGGGTGTTTTAAATAAACCTCTAAAAAATTAAAGTCCCCTCAGACAAGCACTTCCTCAACTTAGGGGGAGTCGGACATTGAAAACTATTTGCCTTGATTGATTCTAACTCTTTTAACAGGTGGCAACTCTCTTCAGAAATTTTTTTTTCGAAGAAAAAGTTTCTTTAACCACTCTTGCTTGACTCGCATATCAAAGTATGTATTTCATTTAACTTGTTAATTAAATTTATTTATAATTTCCTAAGAGGCGGCAGCCCACTTCGCAAAACTATTTTCGAACCCAAGCTTTCTTAAATCCATTTCAGTCTTTAACCTTTTTAACAGGTCGCAATACCCTTAAGAAATACTTTCGAAACAAATAGTTTTGGACCTCCTTTACTTTGACTCACATATTGTTGTAATATTTTATTAAACTGATTATTGGATTGATTTTTACTTTTCAAAAAAGGTGGCAACTCTCTTCAACAAATAACCTATATGTTAATCTGGGTTATAACCTATCTTAGTGTCTAATTTCATTGAAATATATCCCGACGTTTTAGCGTAAGAAGTATACTCACGCACTCACAAACTTTCACATTTATAGTAGTAGTAGGAAGTAGGATTATTACCTAAACACAAAAATTTTTGCCCTATGGAATCATTGAAGTAATAATCGAGATCTCTACTGGAAAATATTAGCAGAAAAGCAATTCAAACCAAGGCAGCTCGGATCATATGCTGAGCTCGAAGAGAACGTATACATAGTCAACCACGAATACTCCCAAGTGCCAAGCCAGTGTGCTTCTCCATTCACCCCAAAAAAAAAATTCACTAATCATCTTGTTACATATGTTAAATTTAAGAAATTACACGCCTTACGCATAAAGCAAACACTTGATAGATAGCGGTGAGCACGCGCTTCAAAAACTACTTCCAAGTAATCAAGACTGGTTGACCGTCGGCCGTCATGCCTAGTCTACGCTCCGTGGGTGGCCAGAACGTACGGCAAGATTGTAGCAACCCATTCAAGAATGGCTAAACGCTTTTGATTAAGTTACACACTTTAATTTTCAGTTAAAACCAGTTTTTCTGTGCACACATATGTACATATAAACATGTGTCGTTATGTATGCAAGTAAAGTTTTGTGTTGAAGAGTTATTCAAAGGTTTAATAATTTTTTGTTTAATAAGAAGTACGTTCTACAATGTAATTTAATATTAACTAATTGCTGTAGTATTATGAAATTAATTTCGTTTACCAAACTCGGAATCACAGGTTGTTGGGAAACAATCAAAATTTTATATTTAAGCCTATCTTTATACCAATCTCAAGCCACAATTCACATTGAAAGCCATTGCAGATAGACCCCTAATTAATTTATACTTCAGCGGCTGTACCTATTACCAATTCGAACGTACTTACCGCTGCAACAGCCTGGCAACACTAAAGACACCAACCAACAAACTAGTAAATGTTTATCGATAATAACTAAAAACTAAACAGAACTTTTTAGAGTACGCACCTCATCCCCGTAATAGCGTCCAAGACAAATGGTTCTTTCAAACGAGTTTTCAACAATCTGCCCAGTCGCACCATGCGACCCACTTCGAGCAGCAGCTGTTCGCGCACCACCAAATGTTTGCGCAGCTGATCACGCAACAGTGCTGCTGTTCCACTTGCTGCCGAGGTCGTCGGCGTTGTCATCGTTGTCGTCGTCGTCGTCGTCGTTGAAGTTGACTTGTCTGCAAATCCACCAACACTATGGCCACCTTCATCTGCGTCTTCACCATTTCTACTACCAATGATGATTGGCGGGGAGGCTCGCGTATCCGATTCACTGCTGATGCCGCTACTGCTGTTCGGCGTTTGCTTTAGATTGCGCACCGATAAGCGTAACTCCTGCAGCTGTTGGCAATATTCTTCGACGCTGCGATGGAATACGGCTGAAACGCGCAAACGCGTCATATGTTCCTGACTTATGGCCTGCAGTCGATGCCAAGTGTGTTGTAATTGCTGTGACAAGCGTTGTGGTATGGCATCAGCATCGAGACGACAGGAAATTCGTAGCGCCTGTGAGGCTTCCAACAATTGACAGCCATAGTTGTAGATACTCTGCAACGGGAAATTTACGTATGTATGTTTATTGGACTGATAAACGTTGCTGAATATGTACACAAGTAACTATGTATGTAGTATTTAATTGTATTTGTGCACAATAATGGCGCACTTAAGACATTCTTTGGGGAAAATGAGGGTAACTGCATATACATATATGCAAATATGCATGCCTCACGGCAGCTGCAACATACATATATACTCGTACATACATACAGACATACATACATACATACGAGCATTACATACTTATTAAGGAATGACGCGCGAATAAATTCTATTACTTTGCTACAGGTGCAAATTCGAACGGTTTTCAAACCCGGAAGATGGATAAAATAACGTTACGCGATTACGTGTTTATGTAAAATTATACACGTACATATGTATGTATTGAAGAAAATCGCTGAACATTTTTTTAGACTCAGGTATACAATAAGTAATGTAAGGACCAAGTGAAGAAGGATCTGCCCGCAGAGCTTAACGGTCTCGACCCATCACTATAAGTGGTTGCAGTGCTTTGATCGGGTCAATTAAGCTGGCTAACCACCGCATATGGCTTCACAGAGACCTCAAAGGTTACCAGATAAACTACGACCACATTAGACAGCTAATCCTGAGTACCGGAAGCAATGTTGAAGGATATCGAACTCCTCTTGGCAAACTAAATTACCTTGTTGTACGCTATCTTAGCGGCGGCTTCCAAATAAGGCAAAAGGACTACTCCCAGCAGACTGATCCGCAATCTGCTGTGCACGCTGCAACACCCGCAGAATATATGCTATACTGTCTTTCTTACCTTCTGTATATCCCACAGATATTTTAATTGGCCAGTGCTAGTTTAAAGGCGCGCGATGCCAGCAGGCAAAGTCCGGTTATAATAACCCCCAGTAGCCTAGTGGCCACCATCTTGAGGGAGAGTATAAACTTTGTGTGATCGAATGTTACAACGTTCTGCACATAATCCTGCACACCTTGCAACTTTGCGTTTTAATACACACCTTCGTCGCCTTCTTCATCATGAAAGGGTCGAGCTACCGTTTAATGGGATGGAGGGAAATCGGTACTTCCTCCATCAGCACATTTTCCGACAGAGTCCACAACGCCGGTGCGCCCGACAACCAGTACAGATTGACGTCAGTACCACTATGTGGCAAATCCAGAGCTGCCCTGCATTGCTCCACACTTCTAAAGGAGCCTGACTGTTGGTATTGAGATTCGCCTGTTTATTTGATAAGTTTCTGCTCAGTAGCTCCGCCGCTTTCCTTATGGAAAAATACCTCCGCCTGGAAAATGCTGCAGTAGTTCGACAGCTTATAGGATTTGTTAAAACCGACCTCTGCCGCACAGTGTGGTAATTGAACTTACTTCATGAAATTTAAAACCCCTCCCCTTGAAGGTCATTTGAAAGGTTAAAGTAATTTTTTATCCAGCGAAAATAATTTTTCTGAATTCTTCCTCTCAAAAGCCTTAAAACACTATTGAATTTTTCTCACTAGCTGTTCTCGTTCTGTCGCCCCTACGCTTTCTTCCATCTTCGACCCATCTATATAGACATTCCCCGAGGCAGCACTCTTCATCTCCTTACGTCGCACTTCGAACTCTGCAGTAGCTTTGAACTTTGTCCCAAAGTGCAAGTCCAGAATCATGTAGTTAACCCTTCCGAGTAAATTTAACGCTATACTACTATGTACTGGCCCTGCACATTAACTCCCTCGTTGGATACAGCCTGGTGGCAGTAATTAATTCTTGGCCGATAGGTCCGCCGGCAAGAGATGCAACATGGTGCAAAATTCTGCCATTGGTGTAGTGCTAAGTGCCCAAGAGATGCCGATCATTGATTGCCTATATACACTTTCTTTTCTCCTAAGCTAAATTTTCTTCTCCATTGCTGCCCATCAAACCAATACCCCATGCAGCAGTATCACCTTGGCTATCGCCGTCAAGATCCAGTGAGAAGGAGAATTTGATAAGCCCTAGGTTCAGCCCGGCATCTTTTTACACGCATAGAATATCAGTGAGGCCTTCTTCGCCCTCTCCTCTACATAAAGACGCCGCGTTAGCTTACTATAGAGTATTATTCCCAGGTAGTTGGTGTTTTTCTTCAGCTGTAGGGTCACTCCATCCAACTAAGGTTTAGACTAGTTAGTAACCTTGTATCTCCTGGTAAAAAGTACCAGATGCGTAGTTTCACTTAAATGAGCTGAGTGTGAACAGTCACTTTTCGCTTCCCTAAGTTCGGCAGATCTTCCTTCCCTTTTCTTTGATATCCTGTTGACCAACAGCGACCAAAGCAGCCTGTTTGGGGTGGTCACCCCTTACCCCAACGCGCCGAAATACTTCTTCAGCTCAAAATAGTGCTTATCCAGTTCGAAATTACGGAATAAACACTTATCGCCGTCATTCCATCTAAAATGGCTCGATTTGGGATATTTCTGAAGGCTTCCACTACTTATATCTAATGTTGGGAGTCCCAACACAAATTCTCCGTTCTCCAGTGCCGCGTCTATTCGTCTAACAACATTATGTAGGGCGGTATCTACCGATTTTCCCTTCGCGTAAACGTGTTGTACCCTTGAGAGCATGCGTCCCGCTAAGTCTTATAATAATAATAATCCGAACGGTTTTTACCCTCCATTCCCGCCCATCCGCACGAGGGGCGCAGTCCGCATGACGTACGGAACCAATATTTTAAATTTTTGTGCCGAGTCACGATAGGCAGGAGTTTGTTAAGTGTCGAGATCTAAAACTGTTCAGCTACAGAACTAAATTCATCAGCTGATTTTATGTATTTATGTCCATAATTCACTTATTGAGAGAGGAGAGTATCGCTTTCTTAATGCTGAAAAGCGGATCTGATATATCAAACGTGCTGGAGTGAGAGTTAAAATCCTGGCATAAGCAACGGAGTGGGTCGTGCAATTCAAAATTGGTTTTACAAGCTTTCAGAAATATGGGACAAAAGTGTCTTGATACGCGTGAGGGAACATTAAAGTTTACATCAGCCAGAAGAGACGGACTTGAAATTGAGCCTGTCAGTAATTTAACCGTAAAAATTATACCAAGCATTTCCCTGCGACTGGCAGGTGTAGGAAGGTTAATAAGTTTTAAGCGACTCGTATAAGGTGGAAGACTATATTGAGAATCCCATCGGAAATTTCTTAAAGCAAAAAGTAGGAATTGTTTTTGAATTGATTCTATCTTGTCTGAGTAAATTTAATGTATACGTCTTTTAACTACTCTAGGGTCTATTGAAGAAACGATCTTAGGCTAATAAGAATATAGCCCTTGTGAAATGCGTGGCCACTTCTTCCCACTTTTAGCAGAAAGACCGCCCTCACAGTCCTCCAGAACGTTGGAACGTCAGCCCGTAGTCATCTGACCCGTCTTCTGCAACATCGCAGAAAAGATGTCAGCCAGAGGTTGTAGTGTCAAATTAGAAGAAGAAGAAATTACCAATGAAGCATTAGTATTTCTAATTATATCATAACAAGAGCTCGAGTAGCAGCAATGTAACGTTATTATGCCAACTTTTCATTTTCTATCTCCGTTCCATCACAACTTCCTCATTTTCGCCAAAGCAAATCGGCGACAAGAAAAATACAAAAACAACAGCACAATGTGCAGATTATTTTGTTGCGCTAAATTACACCATTCGCCGCATTAATTTAATGGGAGCAGAACCAGAAATGCCGTGAACAGGTTCCACATAATAAGAGGGCAAACCGAATACAAAAGCATGCAACAAAACCTAAAAATCAAAAAAAAAAAGAATATAAACCGGTGATGAACGGAAATTGGACCGCTTTAATTCACCGACCATAACAATAACACGCCAGCAAGAAAGCAACAACAATTCGAACAAAAAAAAAACTATCAACAACAATGCCAACAACTCAGGATGCAAAACGTGATTATAAACTGCGATAAATCGCGTGCATTCCACTGACCATTAGCAGCAACTAACTGCAACCAAACAACCACTGACTATGGACAAACTTAAAAAAAAAAACAAAAAAAATACAAAACAAAACAAAAAACTAAACAAAACGAAAACAAAGAACCACAGTGTAAAACAACTACTCCCAGATCCAACGGCAACCTGCCACACAGCTTGCCCACGGGCAGCTGCGAGTGCGCACAAGTGCAATCCCCACACGCTTGCCAAACAAACTTACACACAAATACAACACAACACAACACCACACCACACCGCAAGTATTCCCTCAATGACCAACTGGATGAATGAGTTTTTGTTATTTTTTTTTTTTCCTTTCTATACTTTCGAGCACTTACCTTTCCAGTTTCTTGAAATGTCTGCAATTCATCCTTCTGCACCTGTATCTCGTGTATATTGCAGCCGACGTGCGAATGGCACTTGATCATGACATTATACAAATCTTCCATCCACTTAATGGCCATGCGGCCATCCTGTTCGTACGTGTAAATGTGTGTCACTTGTTCCAAGGTGAGTTTCTGCAGTTCGACACTGTCGCTGAAGATGTTGCGCCGCGCCAATGTTGTTTCCAAAATATCGCGTACATTGCAAATGTCGTCGCTGTAGTCGATGTGTAGGTCACGGCCAAGCGCATCTTTCACCGGCATCGCCAGCATATCGCTGAGTTTTTCGCCCTCTTTAACGAGTTCGCGTTCCAGGTTGGCTGTTTGGTGTGCAGCGTGCAGATTTCGCGAATGCATTGTATCGAACACAATTGGGCGATTAATTGGCGTCCGCAAAAAAGTGTGACAAAAAGGAAAGGGAAGAAGGAATGCAAAATGTAAATATTTTTAGTGAAATTTTCATGCAAAGGCATGCGCTTAAAATAGCCTTACATACGAGTACGTATGAGCATACAAAGCCATAAATATGTATGTATGTATGTATAAATAACAAGATTGGTGGATGCATATTTAAAAACAGAAAAAACTTAATGCGTGTAGTCCCTACTACCGGAAGTAGTGAAACTTAATGTGAAACTTATAGAAAACTCCATAATGGAAGACGTTAGCAATAAACACTCTACTATTGATTTTTCAAATAGCTGGCAACCCTCCTACATGTAATTACAAGTTATGGCCGAATCCAATACCATTTCGATTGATACCCATATTGTAAGTTATCATTAATCTAATTACATAATTGTAACTAAATTAAATTTAAAACAGGTGGCAACCCTTTGAAATGTTTATTATTTTTTTATCATAATATCTTTTTACAATAAACGAGCACTCCTTGTATATGGGGCGTTCCATACCAAAATGGACGGGGTTCACTCTTCATGTCAAATCAAAATATATTATTAAAAAAAAATCACAAATACACACATCAAAATTCTCTATGAAAATCAATATTTTGTTATTTTTTTTCTTCACATAGAACTTTTTTTATAAAAATAATACTTTTTGAAAAAATGCCATCCCAAAAAAAATAATCACAATGGTAGCTCTGAGTATTGCACATTAATTAAGTATAGTATTATGAGATCCATTCTACAATAATTTAAGTTATGCATTTTTTTACACCGAAGTTGAGTAAAATGAGTACATTATAAATTTACAATTTTTTTTTATTTTATTTAGAATTTTTTTTGAGTATACTGTTTTGTAGCCCATTAAATTTTAGTATAAAAAGTGCAAGTTTCAAGCCACTGCAAAATTTCATTGATTTCGTATTTTAAAAATCCCGAATTAAAAAAGAAATAATAGGGTTGCCATCTATTTTGAATCGCATATTTGTTTATTTATTTTTTATAAAAAAAAGGTACAATATTACTATTCATGATTACTAAGAGAAGGTTCTTAAACAATGCTTTTCCTATATACTAAGTGTTATCCCTTAGGAAAGATATAGGTGAGAACTTTGGTCCGAAAATATTTTCGATCAGGGTTGCCAGGCTTCTATGTAATAAAAATGTTTATTTTGTTAATTTCAATTAGCATTTTTTTTTTTGTATGTATACGGTATATATACCCTCAATATATGTACTACTCATTCCAGCGTATTTCTAAATAGGGTTACCACCCAAATTTTAAAGTAAAAAATTTACTTCATTTATATATAGATATCTAACTTAAATTTTTTTTCCAAAATACTTTTTTTAGCTATCCAAGTGATCAGTATTTGATACCCAAACCTTGAAAACTTTAAAAAGTATATGCACTCCGAGCAAACTCGGTCAACCTGATAATAACTTACTATTTCAAAAAAAAAAAAACATATAAGTCAAAATTTCAAACTTTCGACGACTTTTAAAAAATATTGATTAAAATTTTAAACATTTTAATCAGATTTTCTATAATTGCCTTGAGTATGCCGTTTTGTAGCCCATTAAATTTTATTACAGTCGGTAACACTGAAAAAGGACACAATGTGAACTAGTTGGGCTGAAACGCAAAATGGTAGCATTTTGGTTTACAACTGGTAGTTTTCCCAGCAAGGTACGAATAACCTCTGCAGCAATTAAGACACACCCTAGGATAGCCCTCAGATAGTCTCTATTGTTACCAGCGCTAGTCTCTCATAATTCCCGTGCCAATGGTTTCAACTGCCATCTTTAACATTGGCGTGCCATTGGAAAAGGACCGGTCCAATCAACACTGCCCGTAAGATAGTCCTGGACTAGTCCAATTTTGGAGATTTTTTTCGTTGGAGTAAGATTGCGTTCTGCACTTCGCAGATGCTTTTTCATAATTCGGAAACACAAAAAAAAAATAAACTTTATCATTTTATAACCATGTTGCTTCTGACGGCATTTGAACCCGGACCCTCCTGAAAGCTAACAAATAGTGGCAAGCATCTCTGCGCACTGAGCTACAGCCCCGCATGTAAATGCGTGTTTAAATATTCACTTTGCATTAAGGCCAGACCAAGGGATTGGGACATTTATAGGGTGGTGTTCTTTAATTAATTTATTTTTTTGAGATGCAAGCGAATGTCCAATTCAGACCAGTCAAATTTTAACCACTGAAGTACTTACTAGTCCTTAACGGAAAATTGGCCGCCTTATTGCTACAGGGTAAGTGCAGTCAGCAAACATACAGTACAGATGTATAAAATCGATAAGGAAAACCTAGTAGTCGTATGTAAAAAATTACACTTGAATTGGAGTGATTCTCCCGAAGGCACACAAAGCGTTCTCATCTTCGATCGACATCGTCAACATTTCTGTGAGCGTGATTTTTGTTCGTCAGGGCACGATTGCAATTCTGGCCAAAATGTACAATTTTTGTGTAAATTTTTTTCCAATTAGTATACTAGTGCATAACACTCAAATTTGGTAAATTTTTGAAATCTGGAAAAATTTGGGGATGGGGTCGGGCCCAGATTTTTCTGAAAATTAAGTTGGAAAATAAAAGTTGTTATATTTTTTCAAATTTGATAAATTTTTAACCGACTTTGCAAAAAGAAGAAGGTTATCAGTTCGTCGGAACATATATATGTTTTTTATGTATGTTACCGCATAACTTTGGACCACGTTAACCGATTGCTATATTTCTTTTTTTAAAGGAAAGGTGTTACCTCACAGGTGGTCCCAATTCCCAATTAGATTCAATACAAGCGATAGGTTAAATAAATTACTTCAATGTGAATATAAATCAAAATCGCTTTGAAGAAACTTTATTTCCAAACTGCATGTAGGAGGGTTGCCACCTGATTTTATAATTAAATACAATTTGAAATAAGAGCATTAGGTAATTTAAATATGTATCAAAATACAAGTGTCAGACGAAAAAGTTATAACGAGGTTTTGGTTTAAAAATAATTTGAACAGGATTGCCAACTGTTTGAAAATTCGAATTAAATCAAATTATATGAAATATTGAAATATTGGCGTCAAACAAAGCAGTATTAAGAAATATTTACACCTTTTCCAACTCTATTTCAGAAAAACACAAATGTATTTCAGAAAACCTCAAATGTATTTCAGAAAAGGGCAAATGTATTTCAGAAAAAAATCAAATGATTTTCAGAAAAGCACAAATGTATTTCAGAAAAGCATAACTGTATTCTAAAAATATTCCTTCCATCTTAACCTCGAGAAGGTTGGACAGTCTCAAAGAAAGTGTGGCTATGATTCCGCGATAATACCAATCGCACAATGGCCTGTCAGAACCTCCAACGTATTTTTCGTGACCTTTAAGGATAAAGATGGATCTCTCGTGACTTGCGTTGCAAAAAGTATTTTAAAGTGCCCTATGAAAATATTTTCTGCAGCAGAGAAACGTCTTTTTACCATTTTATGTCACAAATGAGCATCGGTGTCTTTTATCTTCGGTACAAAGTTTAAAATTTGGACTTACATGGTTTTTGTTCAAGTCTTCTTCAGCTTAATTGGCGCTATAAATAGGTTATGGTTGGTATTTTTTAATGGGAACACTTAAAAGTACGCACACATTTTTTTGTATCGTGGCCTTGTCGGCATTGTCAGTTAATTAAAGCTGTATCCGCTTTCAATAAAGTTAAACCCCCCCCCCCCCCCCCAAAGAGCCTCCTACCATTCGCATTCACCTGTATTATTCGTTAAATAATAACATACATACATACTCATATGTACTCATTTGTGATTCGTACCTGTATGTGAACATTTGTCTCTAACCGCCATTCACCACTCAATCTCAATCCCCCTTCTCAACAACTTACCTAAACTCATTTGGCTCTCCTTCAATTGCTGCAAATTCTCCGCTGCCACCTCGAAATTCTCCTCTGCTATCTTATTTCCCATGACTAGTGTTTCGAAAACCGCAGTCGTCCGATCGAAATACTCGCTGACGAGTCGAAAAAACCGCAACGATGTGATGAGCACATTCCGACGCCGCTCAAGCCGTGTAGCAAACGAGCGGCAAACAAATTGCATGAAATCACGCTGCGACAACAAATCCTTATAGGCGTATGTATCCTTGAACCCGGCGAATGCATCGATTTTATACAGCAATTCCGCATAGAAGCCATACGTTTCGCGGCACTCCAGCTCGAGTGCATCGTGTGCGGTACGCAGCGTCTCGCAGCTGTGCACATCACCGCCAATGCTATACTGGCGACTGAGCAGCTGTTCGGCTGTCTGTAGAATCCAATTTGTAACGAAGGCGACACCCTCTTCCAGATGTGTCAGTTCGCGTGCTTCACGTATGCTCTGCAAAAGTTCCAGCCACGCGGTGCGTATTTCGGTTTGCTTACGTTCGATTTGATTAAGCAGAAGTTCGATGCGTGCGCGTGCACTTTGTAGATCCGGCGGCAGGGACAAACGTGCAGCGGGCGAATTGGTTGAGGTGCAGGTGGCATTCGAAGGTGACTGAAAGCTGTGGCCATTTGGATCGTGGCAGGAAAGCGCAGATACGGCATTTATACTTATGACAGTGGACGTGTTTGGCATTTGATTTTGTACGGGTAAATAATCGCTCGATGAATGGGTATGAGCTGAGACTAGTTTGGGGGGTGAATACGCCTCGGCCAATCGATTTAATACGCGATTGCCTGGAAATGTAAAAGGAGAAAAACAAAATGTTGAATTTAAATGAGCCAAATGAACTTTACTGAATTTTGTAGAAGCACACATTTTCCGTGTGTAGTATTTATGTAGACTATAGAGCACAATTACTTTTCTACGTGATAGCGTAAACGCTTCAACTCGCACTTTCATATTCTCTAGTACTTTCGTTTTGTATCTTCAACTGCAGGTGAAAGGTGAACTACGGTAGCTGCATAGTCTAGAAATCAAGTGTGTTGAAATTGCATTAAACTTTCCTTTGCGTAGCCAATATTGCATTGAAAAAGTTAAGTGGAAATTGGTGTTTCGCTTAGAGTAGAGGAAAGTAAGTATTGAATAACATTGCTTACAAATAGTGAAGCTAAAAAGCTATGTATGTATGTATACAGGCATATCTACATGTATTACTTAAGTAGATGGGTAAGTGGTAGGGTCTTCGAGTTATGCGAAAAGTGGCAATTCGAAAAAAAAAACAGTTCCCTACAACATGTAGTCGATTCACTGCTGCTACGACAAAAAAAGGGAAACATTTTCGTTAGGTTTTCCTTTTATTTTTTAAGTAATTTTTTTCAGTGAAAAATATTTCGGTATCTCACGATTTGTACAGTTATAAATATTTGTACATTTTGACAGATACAAAGTGGATTTTTTTTTATTTTCGATACAAATTTCTAGATAACATCACTCTGTGACTATCAAAATGTACAAATCCGTACAAATATACAAATAGTGTGATCCCTGCTTAGTAAAATTGTAGCAGGCTGATATCTTTACATTATAGATATTAAAGAAAAATTTTTATGGGAGGTCTTTACTAGAGCAACTGCAGCCAAATCAAAATTTTTTTAAAATTTTTGTCTGTGTATCTGTATGTTTGTACGCGCATCATTCAGAAACTAAAGCATGAAATTGAATGCAGTTTTGACTGGTGCATTGCTAGCGGTCTAACTTAGAATTTAGAAAAAATAATAATTAGAGAGTTGGCACCAGTTTGAAAATTGCAATTTAAGTACATTGATTAGATGAAATAGATATCGCAGTATGGCCGTCAAAAGAAAGAGGTTTAACAAGGCTTATAGCCGAAAATATTTTTGTGGAAGGTTACCACATGTTTGAAATTTTTAATTTAATTTAATAAAATATTGCAAATTGGGGTATCAAACTAAAGAGGTTTAGGCAACTTTACTCCCGAAAAAATTTTAGAGAGGGTCGCCACCTGTTTGAAAGGCTTTATTCAATTAGACTGATAAAATAAATGAAATATTACAATGCGGCTATTAAACCAAAGAGCTTTAAGAAAGTTAACTGCCGGTAATTTCGGCGTTTCCAAAAACCTAAAACTTTATTTAAAAACACATACTAACAACATGCGTCAACCTGGCAAAGTTGGTCTTGAGTTTCTTTCCAATCCTCCATTGCCATTTCAAACACAATTGTCACAACCATTATGTTTTATTCACTTTTTTTCTAATTTCATACTTATTTTCAATAATGTAACTGCCAACTAGTTTACCACTCAAAGTCATATTCATTGGTGAAATGTAAATGTCGCAATCAAAATCATTAGCGTATGACGAATATGATACTACGTAGTTACATATTTACTACAGACATAAGCCATTTGCATACACAATACGCATGTATATTTATACATACACTCATACATATGAATGTAGTTACAATACAACAAAGTACTACATATATGGCTTAAGGGCATACCAAATGCCTTTGGCCTCTTTCTTTTGCGCGTATTTTTCAACGAGTGCCTAAATTGCTGAAGGCCTAACTCATAAACTTATAGATCTACTTATAGCAGCATTATGCAAAACTGATCATAAAAAGAAATAAATATGTCTAAAAATATTATGCTGAAGATTAAGTAGCCGCCACTTTGTCTAATTTCCGTTTTGTGCATTTTTGCTACTCAAATTCGCTAATTTACATTTTTTGCATATTTCACTCAAAAAGCCGAAAACCTTTTCAAAAGCTATTTAGCTGTAAAAAGCGATTAAATTATTCATAATTTTTCATTAATTAACTAAGATTCACTTCAAAGCCATGGTCCGCATGCATTGTCTAGCAATCTATCGCACAGAAAAACAAAAGACTCAAGCGACAAACTTGTTTTCCACAGACCTTCGCAGCAGCCACCGTTAATGTGCCACAACCCGTTTATCAAAGCTTTTACGTTTTGAATTTTTAATTGCTACAAAAGTATATATCACACAAATTTTTTTAAAAGCATTTAATTTATGTTAACTTAAATCAGTCGGATGTGCGTCTCACGTCTTAATTAAAGTAGCAGCATCTGAGGCTATAAAAAGTTCATAAAACGCATATTTTTTTTTCTTAATAGGCATTACTTAATGCACTCTTTATCAGCTTACCCAATTCTATGACCACTTCGATTTGTTGTTGTACGCTTGTATGCAGCTGTGCGCATTTCTTTAGCTCAACATCCGCTTCCGCTGGCCGCAATGATTTATTATTCAGCAGCACTACATGCAAGTTTTCCATGCTGTTGAGTGTGGAATCAAAAGTCTTTTGGAATTCATCAATGGCCTATGGGAGGCAAAATAGAGCGAATAAAGCGAATTTACATAGATAAACGAATGTGTTTGCATTGTTGTTAGAAATATTTTAATTCATATTATTTTAATATACAACTTAACACAAACCAAATTTAATAAACTTATATATATGTAAGTATTTACATAATTATAATTTATTGCTCCCATAAAAACCGTTTCCCAAATACCTTTCTCTGCTGCAGCCATAAATCATAGTTAAATGACAAAGTGCCACCTAACTCCTCCGGCAATTGCGACAGGTCGAAATATTTTATTAAGCGCGCCTTCGACAATACAATAGGCTGAAATTGTGGGAATAAAAAGAAAATAAAGTGCCATAAAATTAAATTTAATGCATATATTTATTTGCATTTTTAATTATGCTTATTAATTTGTAGAACGAGGCTACTTTCTCTATTTTTTTTTTGAATCACTTTTTAATAACTCTCAAATTATGCAAATCATTTCTTACCTCTCCCTTTGCCTGCGATTTGCTTGTACACGTCTCCACATGCTTCTCCCAGAAACCCTCCGCTCTGACTAGAAATAAATTGACTGTAATATCATCGAAGAGCGCATAAATGATACGCGCATGCGTACGAGTGATGCGCGTTGTACTTTTCTGTGCATCCACAATGACAGTAACGCCTCGTTGCAAGATAGCAGCGCTGGAAAACAAAAACAAAAACAAAAAACAAGAACAAATATATTCGTAGGTCATCAATTTTAATCTCAAAAAAATTAGTTAGCTTGAAAGCTTTCCTCACTATATTTTCTCAGCAATTACTTTCTATATACCGCTACTGGCATTTTAATAAGAGTATTTAAGCTGTTAATTTGCTTAACGAAAGGCTACAGAGAAGAGCGCATAATCGATTGAAAAAGCATGAAATACAGCATTTATGATAATTATATGCATTATAAAAAAAAAAAAATTGCGCATTTTTTCGGAAAAATATTAAAATTTACGTGAGCTATACCTCTTAATTATATTTATGCCGTTGATAAAATTCGTAAATATTTTTTTAATGTAGGCCTTTTATGCTTAAACACTTCTATTATCTAAGGTGATCTTTTTAGAAAAAATTTTGAAAATATTTTTGAAAACTAATCTTATTAATAGGTGCAGCTTACATAAATCTAAAAACTTTTCCGAAATATTTTGGAGAAAGTCTTAAACTACATATAAAAAGTTGTATATTTCCGATGGAAACACCGTACTTTTATTTTTGTATGGAGAGTGATGCACCCTAATCTATTTACATACTTGTCTGGAAAATATTCTTTCGAGGCTCATTTAAACTAACTCATTTGCGCGTAATTTTTTCAAATTTTTCCATATTTACACTTTAGTATTAATATGTGCCATTTATATAGATTTCGATTTTGAAAGCCACTTAAGTTTAGGGATCCAATGGTTTGTTTGCAAAAGCCCGGCGCAGTACCAAGTGCTTAGGTTCGCACAATGACACAGAAAGCGATCAACTGATTCGCCCTCATCCTCATTGCGGCAGCTTCTGCAGAGAGCACTTGTGGAGTTTCACTATCATTGGAGCATTATTGCAACAAAACAATGACCCTTGATGACGCCGGTAAGTACTCTTACTGCAAATTTATTAAGTTTTAGGAGCTCTTCTGTATTTTTCCTACTAACCCATGGTCATTATAATCTTGAGATCTCACAGTGTTCCCGCTTGTTCCACGGGTCTTTAGTAACGGCTATGTTGAGAGTTATCCGCTTCGTCAATTGTCATCTCAGTGAAATACCTGGCCAACTTCTTCCCTTCAACATAGCTAATTATGTCCGTGGATCCAACAGAGAGTGGCGTTGATATGGCTCTGTGATGCTAAAGTGGCACGACATTTCCATACAATCCCCGATTTACACATTTTATGTAGATACCTGGTGCTTTCTAAGCTGTTTGACTAACAACAAAGATAGTAGCTTTCCCGTCTGGAAATACGCTATTCAGCAAAAGGCCAGCCGCCTTCTCTGCAGCGTTGATCTCTGCGTGGAAGACACTAAAGGCGATCGGCAGACGAATTGAGGGGTTGATCTGCACATGTTCCGAGTAGAGACCGCATCCGGTGCCTTTCTCCATCTTTAAACAATCAGTATAAATGAATATACCACCCTCTTCTGCGTGAAACTCTACATCACATTCTTCTCTAATCACAAACCTAATGGGCATCTTAGTATTGAAGTCTCAAATCGGCCTCATGTAGGGCTTATATATTAGCTTTGTTGCAGGAAAGATACACTAAGAGTTCTTTTTCCCTTATTTTAGTTTTCATCTTTGCCTATTTCATCAATATTAAAGCATATATTCAGGAGGAATTTCTGTCTCCCTACATATGTACTGGATTTATCATTTACATTAATGAAAATTTTTATATTGATTTTTGCGCTTTACATTAAACTAATTTCAAATTCGATTAAGATTCTACACTTCCTCATCAAAATACCTTTCGAATGATAAATATATAATCGTTTATACCTAAGAAGCATATTTTAGGCGTAAAAGGGATGTAAAGAAAGCATCTGTCTATTTATATAGAAGATCTGCTAAGCTCGGCCCAATTATTCGTTTTAACCTATTTTATCGTATTATCGAAAATAATTAAAACCCAGTAACGGCGATTTTTCAAAAAGACCAAAAAACAGTTTCGCCCGCACTTAGCCTTCTTCATTTGTGTTCTTTATTTATTTTTTTTTCAAAAACGCAATTTAATTTTAATTTAATTTTAACAAATTAATTTTATAAACCTAGCAAGGTAGTATGCTTAGTAAGGGAAAATTTCTGCTGCCAAAATATTTTAAAATATCACTAAAAACTCGATTAACCATTCACTTTTTAAGTATTCTCTGAATGCATACAGCCTCTTGTGTCAATTGGCATGTCCAAGTACATACATACATACATATGTATGAAAACGAACACATTTTTAAAAGCGAATATATATTTACGCACACGTGTAGGATAAGCACATACTTATGTAAAATAATTATGTGGGAATTTCTTCTTCAAAAAAAAAAAAACAAAACAAAAAAAAAAACGCCATTCAAAAAAGAGGGCAAAAAACACTCACCTCAAAGCACGTTTTAAGTAGGCAATCGATAGTTCCAAACATCTGCGATTCCACAGTTGTAAATCATTGATGATATTAACAACAACGATGATTTTGCCCGTGCGATCATAGCCGCCAGGTAAGTAGGCCGTACGCGTTTGCAGTGCGTTCAACACGTCCTCCTCCATATTGGCGGCGGCAGTGGCAGTGGAGCTTTACTCTCTTCTTTTTGTTGATTATTTTTACAGCTTTATTTTTATATACATACATATATATGTACGCCGTTTACTTGTTGTTATTTATCTTTTATTGTTGCTATGTGCTTTATTGATATGCGTATTGAATAACTTATGGCTTTGACTTTTGTTCTGGTCAACATCATGCAACATTTTACACTGGTTCCCAGGCTAACCAGTCGATGAACATAACAGAGTACATATGTACATACACACACTCATATGGCGCGCAAGTTAAAGACACACAACAACACTGTTGCAATGCCATTAAATGTTGCGCACGTCAATGTTGTTGACGTTGATTTTCCGGTCAACGGCAATGTTGCGCGAAACGCTGGCTAACTGAAGCAGAAGGTAATGTACATATATGTGTGCGTCCATATGTATGTACATATTTATGTGTAGGTGCTGAAGACGGTAGCGCGGTAGTGCATTCAGCTGCCACAAATTACCAGCATTCCATTGCTGAATATGCTGCAACATACATTGGTTGAGTTTGTATATATATATTTTTTTTTTTACTTTGTGGGTTGATAGTTGCCTTTTTTGTTTTTATTGTTGCCACTTCTTACTAAATTTGGTAGTTGCAACAAATTCCAGTAGGCAACTTCATTTTTTTTCCGCGAGTTCTGCAAGTGTCTGTATAATTTATGCGTGCATTTTTATTCCTGAATCCAGATTCCAGATTCAGCAAGACTGTTGTTACATCGTTATTTTTATTTTTATTTTTTTTTTGTCTGCGAGATATGCTCAGAGCTGTTGCTTTTGTTGTTGTGTTTATTAATTTTCTTCACCAACACTGCATGTATTGCTGCTGCCTTGTTTGAGCTAGAAAATTCAAGTAATACAAGTTAAGTGGTGAAAAAAATGGAATTCAATAAAAAAAAGAAAAAATAATAATATTGCATACGAGTATAGAAAATGGAGAAGAAAAATTAAAAAAAAAAACAAACACGGCCGATAAAGCGACAAAATGAATTATAAATATTTATGTATGTACATTAGGCCGTACCACCAAAAAAAAAAATAGTTCAATTTGTTTCAAGCTATTTTGAACACTCACTATGAGAGTTTTTCAGTAGTGGAATTTTTTTCAGCCCCTTGTAAAAACACTTTCTTATTTAATGTCCGATTTCTATAAGGAATGCCGAATTTCCGCAAGTTATTAAAATTACAAAAAATTGGAGGCATTTAAAAAATGCCATGTGTTAGGCGAGAGTCCAGAGTAGGACTCACTTAGACTCAGGGTCCTTTTCGATATCGCAAGAGGTCTTTTAATTATCCCCGTTCCCCTGTAAACCACTTGGTGCTTAACAAAAATGTGCATAGGCTTCTAACGTTCATAGCTTAAATGGCTCTCTGCTCTGTGTTTTGACAGAGCCGGTCATTGGCAGAAAAGATGTGGGATGGTTTCCTCTTCATCTTCATCCATACAGCTTCTGCAGCAGTCGTTCCAGGGTGCGCCCAGTAAACTTCTATGAATTTTTCATTTCAATGGCCAGGTACCCAGACAACGTGTGTGCTGAATGTATCAGCCATCTCGTTGAGAGATCAGCGGCATTGAGCAACTACTTTTGAAGTCAGCGACATATTTCCCAGAGATTTAATTGCCGCCTGGTTTTAAGTGAAGATGTAGACATCATGACTAATGAGGAATCGTATCACAATGTACCAGTGATGCGACCTTTGAGATAGCCAACAGTTCCGCCAGAAAAACATTGCAGTAGTCAGGAAGGCTGAAGCTGAACGATAAGCCTAACTGTTTCGAATGCACCCCCCACCACCAACTGTTTTTTCGAGCCTTGATCCGTCCGTGTAGACATAGATTTATCCTCTTTTACTGACTGCTCCATTGACCATTCCTCCCTTGAGGGAAGAAGGGTCGTGAACCCGGCCTTGGAAGTGTGGGTGGGTGGGATTTAGGCCACTGAGTAAGGTCCTTCAAGATTTTACAGTGACCAATATGTGGATGTGTCCATTTCATGGACGTGTTGAGCCTAATTGCGGTGTACTACATGCCATCTTTCTCGCATATAGTTCAGTCAGGAGAAATTCTAGTAGCGTGTTGAGCGCTTTGGTGGCTGTTGTCTTCATGGCTCTTGTTATCAGTAGAGAAGCCAGTTGTTAAACTTTGTCCTTTTTCTTAGCGCTAACCTTTTTATTGAGAGAATCCCACCAAACTACTAAACCGTAGAAAAGAATCGGTCTTACCATCGCTGTGTTACAATTTTGGGCTCCAGACGCCAGTTTTTGGTAATAGCCCTGGTGCAAGTGTATACGGCAGTTGTGGCTTTCGAACCCTTTCATCGATGTCAGGTCCCCAATTTAATTTCCTATCTAGAATTAAACCTTGATATTTAACCTGAGAAAGCTGACAACGGCAATGCTTCATAGTTGAGTTGAGAGCACACCTCCCTGGGGGTTCCCCTTACTGCGCACATTTTGACGGAGGAGTCTTCTAGTTCTGAATTTATAACCCAATCTCGGAGGAGGTTGTTGACAAACGCTACCAGCGTGTTATAAAGTCCAAGTTAGTGGAGCGGTAAAATGACTGCAACCGGACTGATATTATCGAAAGCATCTTCAATATCCAAGAAGACAGACAGAGCATATTCTTTGTGATACAAAGATATTTCGATGTCAAAGATAAGGCTATGTAGAGCTGTATCCACGCTTTTACCTTTGTTGTATGCATGCCGGGAAGTAGAGAACTTCGGACCAACTAATTCCCTATTCTGGTTTCAGTATGCGCTCTATTGACTTCAGTAAGAAGGACGAGAGGCTTATTGGTCTGAACTCTTAGGGTTTGCTGTGCGAATATTTACCCGCTGTGGGTATGAATACAACTTTTACCTGCGTCCATCTTTGTGGTATATAGACGAGGCTGATGGCCGCTCGATAAATTGCTTTTTGTTTGGGAATAACGATATACATTGTTTTCTGAAAATCGATGGGTAGAATACCATCGACACCAGGTGACTTGTAGGGAGAGAAGCTGCAAATAGCTTCCTTAATGCACCAACAAAAATAGTGATAAGAGGGATTTCCCCATCTGGGACAGTGATATGTGAATTATTCGAGCCTCTGGTGTCGGAATTATTTTTTTTTAACAACTCTAATGTATAGGCCCATTTTCTGGTATGTGTGTATGTGTGCACACGCATACATTTGTAGGCACGCAAGTCATCTTACTCACAGTTATGCCCGCCGCCCATGGCATCCGTCAGCTGCCTTCGCACCATCCCAGTTGCAACGCTTCAGCTGCAGCTGCGGCATTGTCAGTGATGCTGTTGACATAAAACTCGTCTGACAAGTTTACTTCCATAGTGGCTTCAATGAAGAAATGTGTGCCCGGTGCGCGTCTGATTTTCATTTACTAATACTTTTTCCACTTGTTTATGGCTTTTGTTGTTGTTTATTGCCGTAGCTTTCTATTTAATGGCACAACTGTATTCATACATACATATTTAATTATTGTTTTTGTTTTTGGGAGCGAATGCAAATTGCATTTGACACATATACTTAGTTAGTTTTTCCTCTTTTTTTCTATCGCGTCAACAGTTGGTAACGAACCAAGTTGCCAGGTTGTGGAAAATTCGTGTTTGAAAAATTTCTGTTAGGAATTATTAATATTCCTTTATAATTAAGCAAATTCACGATTTGTAACATTTTAGATGTAAAGTTGCTATGTAGCGATCTAGTACGTGTTTCGTTCTTGGAAAAGCTTAGGCGAATTGCTGACATTTTAAAAGGCACTGCGTCATTAAACGTAGTAGAAGAATAACAAATACGCATCGACTATCGAACTCAGCAAGGTCGGTTGTACCGCAGCGTTAAACGACAACTTAAATTGACGATTCCACGAGCGGTACGGTGGCGAATAACCAAAGCCTGCGACGCTAACGTGGTTCATTTTTCCATGGAGAGGGCATTGGGAAACGATTTCAGTTCCTGATAATTAGGAGGTATGTAAAATCGTACATAAACACATGCCAAGAGTGGTGTCTATTTAAGGTAAAGGGAGGGAAATCCTAAAGTCAGCTTCATGTTCTCGAAGTGTTGCCGATACCATTTCGTACTGTCAACATCGTTCACTAGGGCCCTATTACAAAAAGCGAAAGGGGCTAGGCTTACATTTTGGTTATTGTATGTGGCTTCGGCAAATACGTGCTACTGAAAGCATTAAGGAGTGCAAAAACTGAACCACCAACCAACTGAGCTTACGTCTGACCGCGGAACAGCGTTCGCATGGCAGCCCTTCTTTGCACTCGTTTCACCTTGGCTCTGGACAAGGTGTTGTTTAGCGCAGGCCACCATACGGTGACCCCGTAGAAGAGGATGGGTCCTATCACAGCTGTGTATATCCAGTGTACTATATGTGGTTTTATTCCCCATGTTTCGCCTATAGCCATCTTACAACCATACAGGGTGGTATTGGCCTTGCTGGAGCGGTCCATTTTCTTGTCTAGAGTAACTCCAAGATAAATGACCTCGATTGAGAGAGTAAGTGCCACCCCGTTTAGGGTGGTAGGTTGAAATAAGCGGTTTTATACTTCGTTGTGAAAAGTACCATTTCTGTCTTGGTAGGATTGACACTAAGTCCACATTCTTTGGACCAGATCTGACCGAATGCATTTTGAAATAACTCACTCAGAACTTGAAGATGTTTGCCCATTGCCACGATTGCTATGTCATCACCGTACGATATGATTTGACAACCGGTGCCCTTTCGGCTTAGAAGTAGGGTGTTCACTGTAACATTCTAGAGTAGAATAGAATATGCATGCTGATTCGAGGAGAGGTTGTCAGTTTTCATATTCCGTCAAATATATTCGTCGATGAGCCTCTTTAGAGTTTTAAGAAAGAATGAAGTGAGGCTTATAGGCCCGAAGTCCTTCGCTTTCACATGAGTGACTTTGCCTCCTTTTGGAAGGAATACAACCTTTGCCTTTGTCCACTCGTGTTGTATGTGAGTCAGGGTTAGGCAGGCTGTAAAAATCCTTAGCTTCCTGTAGTTGAGCGCGAAAGATTCCGTCAAGGCCCGGAGATTTGTAGGGCTGAAGGGACATTCAAGCCCATTCCACCCTCTTCTCACTTACAACGTCCCTAGCGGTATAACCCATAGGCAAGTAGGTCCTAGGACCGGGCGAAAAGCCGGAGGTGTCGTCCGAGCAGCCCGGGAAGTGAGTGCTCATAAGGACCTCCAGCATTTCGTTACCTGATGTCGTCCAGTCACCGTTAGGCTTCTGGATAGAGTTCATACTTGAAGGGGATTTCGAGAGAACTTTCCTCAGCCGGCTGGCTTCAGAGTTCTCTTCGATGTTGTTGCAGAAGTTTAACCAAGATTCGCGTTTCGCCCTCTTTATCCCTATCTAAATCTTAAGGAAGATATCACCAATGACGCTCCTTCCGTAAAACCAGTGCTTAAATTAGCGCAGCAGCAGATGAAACTTGTCAGAAAAATCAGCGAGCGTATAAAAAAATTTTTACCCAACATATAAAATAGACATATACGAACTTCGACCAACATATGCCATAAATATAACCAGTTTCTTCTTAATTAATTTCTCGCTTACTCGCCAAAATTACCAGTTTGCCGCTGATTCCAGTTTATGCTTAGAATTTTTTTTTTTCGCATGTGTGCATAAATGCGGCCGCAATCATTCTAAATAGTAAATATTCGTAAGTGAGACTGTTAGCCAGTTACAGTTAAACGTACTTAAGTGCAACATTGGACACCACAACAAAGCAACTAACAAGTGCTTAGCAACGAATACAACAAATCGTTTGTATGTACATACAAAGCGAACAAACAAGTAACTCCACAAGATTGTGGCATAAGGGAATTCCATATGAGCGGTGCAGCAGTAGCTCCAGGAGCACTTAACGGCTTTCAACCCGTCGGGCTGACCGCTCAACCGGACGAACAAACAAACAAACAAACAAACAACAAAATAACATGCTAAACTGACAGCCCATAATCTTAAACTACAACAAGAACAAAAACAACAAAATAAAAGCAACCGACTGCCGGCAACTGCATTTTAATTGAAGTCAAAGCGGCCCACTTAAATACCCTGACCGATGCCCACCAACCAATGGGTTGCTGCTGTTGTTGCCTGACTGTCTAATGCATGCCGGTTTGGCTATGTAGCACTTTGCCGGCTCGAACGAGCTGTAGCTCAACTACATGGCAGGAGCTGTTCTATTTTTCTACGTGATTTGTATATGTAAAAATGTTTACTGGACAGGTAACACATAAAAATATTTTAACTCTGGGCAACGAGAAAGTACAACATTTGCAGTGAATATCGATGTATGTAAATACTCGTACGTACATACATATGTTTGTGTACGCATTAGGGTGGTCCTAAAATGTAGGAAGCAAATTTTCACATCAGATTTCCAAATCCTCAACCCCAACGTCGAGTCTACTATAGTCAAAGATATCACATTTTGGTCCCGATTGGAGACGGTCAAGGCGTGTCGCACAGGGGTCAAAGGGGGGTGAAAGTTCAGATTACCCTATGAAGACGTCTTAACCGACTCCAATTGGGACCAAAATTTATATGTGATACCCCCGATTTTAGTAGTATCGGCCTTGGGTATTAAATAAAAAAAATATATATATTTTGAATTTTTTGAGTCCATAGAGGCCACGCCTTAGCCGCCTCCAATTGGGACCAAAATTTATGTGTGATATCTGTGACCGTGGTATTACCGATTGAGCGGGTGAGACTGAAAAAAAATCGTTCATTTGATTTTTTAAGGACCATCCTAATGTACACACATTCCCATACGTATATAAGCATTAAAGATCGAAAAATTAAAAGCTTTTGTATCTTGCACTTTATTAAAAGTTTAATGGATTTTCTTTTTGTATAGAAAATTGTTGGGCATTTCTATAGGTAACCACAATGTGATACACCTGCCACTCATGCTTTGGTTTTTTTTTTGTGGTAAAAAGCCAAACCTTTCGCTGTAAAAACGATTAGTAAAATTAATCACGTCGAATCGAGCCCATAGGAGTTCCAGGAATTCAAAAGAACAGTTGGCCACGATTTAAAGAATCGTCTGGCAGCAGCTTTGATGGCGATACTCCAGGGACGTGAACCGGATGAAAAACTTGTGCACCTTTGGACTGGTTCTTCAAAACCGTTTTTCGTCTTTGAACCGGAGTTTCGGTTCGGTGCAATGGTTCAGAAAAAAAAAACTATTTATGTACATATATTTGTGTTATTCTTACTAATATTATAAATTGTAAAAGTTTTTGAGTGAATGCGTATTTATGTAAGCATGTTTGTTGCTCTTGCAAGGCTGGACGTATTTCAGTAAATTTTGGCACACAGATAGGTTATAGTCTGGACTAGAATATAGGTAATTTTTTGAGGAGAGTTGCTAACTTTTGCATAAGTTAAAATCAATTAATTAATTAAGTGTAGATGTCCAACGAAAGGGGTGCCATGACGATTTATTTCGAAAATATTTTTTAGGGGGTTGCCACCTGTCTAAATCGATTGATGAATAAGTATCAAAATAATGTGGGTATCAAACGAAAGCGGTGCAAAATGATTTATTTCCAAAATATTTTCTAAGAGGGTTGCCACTTATTCACAAAGTCAACAAAGTCAAAATCAAATTTTAGTGAAGGAGTAAAATGAAATATTTAAATATAGATATCAAACTAGAGAGGTTTAGAAAAGCCTTATTTCAAAAATATTTATAAAGAAGACCTGTGGCAGAGATGTTTATAAATTCAAAATCAATTTAAATAACAAGTTAAATAAAATATTTTAATTATAATTTTCTACGAAAGCTGTAACTATTTCGAAAACATTTTTGATGAATTTAATTGACAACTTAAATGAACTAATTGACAAGTAAAATGAAAAACCGGCACGTTTTTTTGCTCAGTTTAATGCAGTACTACTAATATAATAAACGTTAGAGTTTGTAAGTGGTGTGTAAGTATGTTTGCTGGTCTTTCTTTGCATAAAATTTTGCATACCGATAGCTTATGACCTTGATTAGCTTATAGCATATTTTTTTATTTTTAAAGAGTTGCCACCTGCTTAAAAAGTTACCTCTACCTCAAATAATAAGTTCATCGAAATTTTACTGTATGGATGCCAGACGAACGAGGTTTAAAAAAATGTATTACGAAAACTTTTTTATAGGATTGCCATCTAATTAAAAAGTCAAATTCTATTTAATTAATAATTTGAGTGAATTACTACAATATGTGTGGCAAACGAATGAGGTTTAAAACGAGTTATACTCCGAATATTTTGTAGAGTGTTGCCACCTGCTTAAATGCAAATCCTACTTTTTCATACGTTAACTAAAGTACTACAATATGGATGTCAATCATAAGAAAGATTGGTTTAGAAAATAATTCTAAAGGAAATAATTCTAAGGTTGCCACCTATTAAAAAGTCAATTTAAATTTAAAAAATAAGCAGAATAATACATTACGAAATGATTAAAAACAATATTTAAGAAGTCTTTATTTCGAAAATATAT